GGGGGTAGAAGTTTACTTTTACCAATTATATCCTTTTTTCAACCACAGAAAAATGTTTAATCAGTGAAATGTTCTCACCATAGCCCAGCTGGCGTTATCTTCAAACCCGTCTCTCGAAAACTGGATATAGAGTCATCTCTGACCCATCTACCCATCCCTGCTCCCTCCATAAAAAAATATATTCACAAAGAGTCTTTAATGTGCACGATATATATATTTCAAAAATCCAAAATTGCCTAAAACTTTTTTATAATCATGCTATTCAGTCTCCCACAGAGCGCATATCCTTGGGGAACATTTCTGTCTCAATCGCCAAAGCCCCATTGCTCGGATACAATAACTGAGCGTCTCTGTAACACACAGCGGACAGGATACATGTATATCAACGTGTGGCTCCTCCACAAACGGTAGCCGAGGTATAAGAAAGCCTTGTCGGCAACCTGAGGAGTTGTAAGTGCATAACACTAATCCCTTATCGATAAAAGTCGTATTGATTGATTGATCGACGAGGTCTGATCAAGTGGCTGCGTCCACTCTCCGCCTGCCCAACTCCGACCCACACCCAGGCGAAAGCTGCAAACTCGTCCCCGCCTTCAGAACAAAAGCCTGCCGTCTTCAGCCTGTCTTGACGGGAAGTAGCAAATCCTACCCGAGTTCGATATCGCCACTGAATGCTTTTGCCGATAGGGGAGGGAGACGATTTATGGTTATCAAACAAAAGATGGATTAGCTATAATCGAAACCATAATAGATGGAATTGTCCGTTCTTCTCGCTGTAGAAAGCCAGGATTAATTCCTTTATTGACGGAGCTTAACTCCCCTTTTGTCCGTTCGTTAGCGATTATAGGTTTTCTTTCGATCACTGCCAAACGTATCTACTCTGTTGACTTTGGCACCATGTATACGTGCACACATACTGCATGGCATGTTTGTTTACGCCCATTTTCATATTCATTGACTCAGATATCATCTCTCTTTGCCGCATATGCAAGAGGAGCAGGGGAAAAGGAGGAGAGAGAGAGAGAGAGAGAGAGAGAGAGA